AAACTCACTTATGCCCTGTGACTCAAGGGTACTCGTGGCAGTGTAGCCGAGTGGTTAGCGTTTCAAGCTATCGTCCTGCACTGTCGCGGTTCGAATCCCGCTGAGGATGTTGATAAGACCAATGCGGGTCGAAACTGCAGTCCACCCAGGATGAGAATAACTTTTGGGAAAGCAAGGCTATGTGAAATTCAATGGATACGTCAGCTCTCGAAACTGCAGTCCACCCAGGATGAGAATAACTTTTGGGAAAGCAAGGCTATGTGAAATTCAATGGAAACGTCCACTGTCGCTGTTCGAATCTTTCTGAGGGTGTTGATAAGACCAATTCGAGGTCGAAACTGCAGTCCACTGTCGCGGTTCGAATCCCGCTGAGGGTGTTAACTGCAGTCCACCTCGGCCGTCGCGGTTCGAATCCCGCTGAGGGTGTTGATAAGACCAATGCGAGGTCGAAACTGCAGACCACTGGTGCCTAGGGATGAGAACAACTTTTGGGAAAGCAAGGCTATGTGAAATTCAATGGAAACGTCAGCTTAACTCATATCATCGTGGCTGAGAACAACTTTTGGGAAAGCAAGGCTATGTGAAATTCAATGGAAACGTCAGCTCAACTCATATCATTTAGAACAACTTTTGGGAAAGAAAGGCTATGTGAGATTCAATGGAAAAGTCAGCTAAACTCATATCATTATGTTTTTGGGAAAGCAAGGCTATGTGAAATTCAATGGAAACGTCAGCTCAACTCATATCATTGTGGGAAAATCTTTGGGAAAGCAAGGCTATGTGAAATTCAATGGAAAAGTCAGCTAAACTCATATCTGCTATATCATATTCTTTTTGTGAAATTCAATGGAAACGTCAGCTCAACTCATATGATTGTGGGAAAATTCGTTGGGAAAGCAATACTATATGAAATTCAATGGAAACGTCAGCTCAACTCATATCATTGTGGGAAAATTCTACTTGCAAGGCTATGTGAAATTCAATGGAAAAAGTCAGCTTAACTCATATCATTGTGGGAAAATTCTACTACCATTCCTTCATCACCTTACACGAAATAGGGTGAATACATCTCATTACACTGAGTTACTGGTAGTCTCGAAACCCTATTCACTTACGAATATAAATATACTATTCCTCACATATTTATACCCATCTCACTTTTGTAAGCCTACGAGTGGCGTCAATCGTCAGAACCGAATCATATCATTGCATAAAAGAGAATAGAAAATTGTCAATAGGACGCGAGCCAAATATGAATCTCATGTATTATCCCCAAGACAATGTGGCTTCTGAATATACACCCTGAATCAGTTTGATCCAATGGCAAGCGAGTGGGTACCGGGACTATGGAACGACCCTTATTTAAAGGTCATAATGATTCCGGGAAAAAATCTGACCTGTCACATTAACGAAGCTCCAAAGGTAAGAAAAGGAAAAGCTGACACCAAGGCTGATTCGTCTGTATCACCATCATGCGTCAGCCTTAGGCTTGTGAATGGTTAAGGTGGCACGAGCATCTGCTTTCTGATTGGCCAAAACTGTCCATGTCTCTGATTGGTTAACTGGTCAACCAGCCTTCATGTCGGCCCTACTGGTCTCACACAAGAGTAGGCCCAATCAACCAGCCTCAGAGTCATGCTGTGAAAGCCTGGATGTTAGATCCCGCCACTTATAATCTTCAATGAATATTGCCTACATTCGCCTCCTCGTTCGCAACGCCTTCCCACTACCCTCGACATGAGCGCAGCTGCCCCACTGATCAAAGCAGAATCATTAAATTCTCCATTAAAGCTTCAACCAAACTGCACATCTTCAGAGGATCTCATCTCGGGAGGCAGGCAAAATGGCGAATCAAGTAAGCACTAAAATGATAACTGGTGCCAAGATTTATTGCAACTAAATCTTTTTCGCTTAGACACCCGTATATTTTTGGCATACTGATATACAGTTTGACCCATCTTTCAAGTAGCGTGTTCACTTTTCCTTGTAGGCATATTTAACAAGTCTATTCGCAAGCACGCTAGTTTGGAGACTGGCCTCAACAGTATCCACACACAGAAATAGGATTTTTTCTGTATTCTGTGAGTTGACAAACATAACCAATCTCAGAAATATGTTGGCTTTTTCGCTGAATTCCAGATTGAGTAACGTTAGATAGTATCAGTTTACTCGAAGGTATAAAGACCAAGATGGTGTGGCCTTTTGTGTGGTCGCAGTCTCCTTTTGTTGTATAGAAGTTGTTTGACCTTGTTTTCAGTATCAGTTTAACTTGAATAAGAATGGTATTCATTCCAGATTGTATAGGACATTGAAAAATTGCTGGTTGAATTTTCCCACAATATGACTAGGCCTTACATTGACATTGAAGTTCACCTATCCTTGCCTCCCAGAAGGTGGACTGTAATTTCGACATCGCTTCGGCAACGGAATTCGAACCCGGGTAGAGCAATGTTTATCCTCGACATGCTGCTACTACGCAACACTGCCGTGGATGCTAAAGGCTAATTTCGAGGCTAGACAGGCCACTGTTATATCACATTTATGCCGTCAGTTGATTGCCATCGTCTACCAGCAGTTTATGAATTCATTCCGGGTCGCAAATGTGATGAAGGACTTTCTTGCAGGTATAGTTGTAGGCTAGTTTGGAGACTCACCTCAAGACCAGCCTCTATAACACACCTTCCAGAAATTGGAATTAGTAGTGCCTCCAGTGGCTAAACAAATATCATTTATTTTCGCATTGGAGTAGAGTTTCGAGACTACCAGTAAATCAGTAGTATGAGAGGTACCATCCTAGGCGTATGTAAACGTTTTCGCTAAATCTCAAATCTGTATACTTACAGTTTTTAGATTTAATCGGTTGGCTTATGACATCAGCTGCGTGCCCAGTTAATATATTTTTTCTCTTAATCCCTCTTACAAACTTCCTTCCTTCCTTCCTTCTATCTTGATATTGGTCTCGCTCAGCTCGTTCTCCAACTCAGGCTAGACCGACTGAGGTTTTCAGTAGTTATGCTGACACTCGGGCTACATCTCGTAGACCTCGTATGCACCCATTTGCGGCTAAACAGGTCCATGCGCACTGGTGGACACTTGATCACACGCTATATTTAGCATTTATGATATGCATTTAGCCATAGGATGACTGCACTCTGACATTTCTTCTGATCTTATCTATTTTTTCCCTAATCGTTCCTCTCCATCTTCCTAGGCCTTCATTCCCAGTCCACTGATTATATTACCTTCCTCTTGTTTGTATACCCATGTTAAAACTATATTAAGTAAAGAAGACTTCAATCGATTTATACATGCCTATATACATGTTTGTAAAGTCGGGCCCAGTGACAGACCTGGATTTACCCTATGTCTCATAAACTGATGAAGATCTGATAGTTGAAATTTCCCACAATTATATGCATAGGCCTCACGTTTCCATTGAATTTCCCATAGCCTTGCTTCCCAAAAGGTATCCACATCATGGACCGACTGCAGTTTCGACTTCACCATCGCCAGTGGGAATCTAACCCGGGTATACACAGTGTTTACGCCTTTATCAGTAGAAGTATATTTTAACTGACAATTTCATTTGATTTTTTTTACCACACCCGGGTCCAAGCAGAATCCCGAACGAGACTCGAGCCTGTGTAGATCGAAATCACAATCCACAGTGGGTGAGGATACTTTTTGGAAGGCAACGCTAGGTCAACTTCAATGTCATTGCGAGGATTACTCTTTTCACTTTAGAAGAATTCAGTTATCAGCCTTTTATCATTCGATATATATGGTGAATACAGCTCTCATTAAAGATCTACGTGTAGTTTCGAAACCTATGCATACAGGCTAATTAAGTCGAGCACTAAAGAAACTTGGTCTCATGAGGATTTTTGAAAAGTGTTTGATGAAGTCTTCTTGAGAGGCTGAATGGACTTATCGTTGCTCCTTTACTCTGATCTTCCGACTCGGCCCCATTAGGTAAACAACTTTTTACGGCTTGATCTGCACCGATGGAGTTCTTTTTCATACTCTAGTCATGATTGGTAACGTGCGTGGCGCTATATTCTTGGGACCTTCATTGTTATGCTACATTAGAGATTTGAGGTTGCAAATTCCAATATGAGAAACAAAGCCCCTAAAACAGGTATTTTATAGACGATTGATGAATGCAAGTAAAGGGTTTATAGGTAGAAGGGATGATCAGAATGCAGCCTGCCCCTGTATCTCTTACTCTACCTGCGTCATGCCAACGTGAGATCTCGCATTGGGGAAAACCATTTGGGGCACAAAGTGAATTAATTTGGCGAGAATAAATCGTGCTACTTTGGCTAATTTAACTCTATCTGACCTTTGTGAAAGCCAGTAGCTTCACTGTCACATTAATGATACATCAGCAGATGGTCACATTGCGTTGCATCTAGCCATGTCAATTTTGACATGGGGTATCGCCGCCCTTGACACCGCCTTTACTCTTGCTTGTCTATTTCATCAGCTTTCTCTGGCTTCGTTGAAGCGTTGAGAGTGTCACTAGGCCTGTTAATGGCTGGTCCACATCAAAGTATTCCGCAACGTGTTTGGCTCTACTCGAACTCTCCACCGGCCTGCCCATGGGTTCATCTAGTCGCAGTAATCGGTCCCCCTGACCGTTGGTAACCGAGAGGGCAAAGCAGCTGTCACAACTTTGTTGCAACTCGTTTACTTTG